TTTTAGAATTAAATTAGGTCGACTCTCTTGTAAACGTCTGTAAAAAGAAGCTCTTAGACGAAGTGCGGGAATCCTCCCCGGTCCGCAATGCGCTTTCATACATATACAAATATGTTGTAATGCCTACTTGCTAATGCCAATGAGTACATTGAGCTACTATGTATATGATAGTATATATATATATATACTCTTAAATTCTCGTTTAGTAATTAGACATTTCGTTTCTGAAAGAAATTTTTCGCTTTCACATCAAAAGTTTTTTTTTTCTTCGTAAAAAATTGCGCTAGAAACTTCTTTTCCCCCTAAGACTGAATGATTTAGACACGAGATGTGTGCAGTAAGTGTATACATAATTTTTCTAAACGCGCGAATGCTCGCCAAAACACAAAGTACGAATAGGAATACAATTCAGCGTAAAAGATACTGACTACTCCCGATAAATTATATAAATTTATACAAAACTCTCTGCGGGACGTTGCGCAACCAAGATTAACAACAATTCGTGTGGATTTCCACTTGAAACATCACCTTTAAAGATAAACTTATGCATAATACGTATTACAGTTTCTTGCCAAATCACAAGCGTAATTTTGCTTGAAATTTCTATATGGAAAATTAAAATATATTTTGATCACTATATACAACAAGGTTTTCTGAAATATATATGCCTTTTGATAAATACAGAACCAATCTCTCTCATCTTTTTTTTTTTCAAAAATTTTAATTTTAATTTAATTAACTCTCTTAATGATTTACTGGATAAACCTTCCTTGATAACTAATAATAAGGCTGAACTTTCTTTTTTTCTAATTTGTTAAAAACCTGACTTTAATTTGTAATATTAACTAGTTTGACTTTATTTTCATCAGGAGCGAAATGCAGATTGCTTAAAGAATAATCTATTTATATACCCTTTTCGGAACACTGTCTATTGAAATAGAATTCACATTGGCAACTTTCGATCCGCAGATTATCAAGAGATAGCTGCAAAGAACAGGTGAATAGTTAAGCACTTAGTTCAAATTTGTTTCGAAGACCTGAGAATTCATCCACGCTGTACTTTTTAGCAAATTTGTGTATGAAGAAGGTACTTGCTTCCGTGGTCTCATAGGCGAAACGAGGGAAAAACCCGAGAACGATAATCCGCAAATCGAAAGCTTACATTTCTTTTTTCTCGAGATATGATACAAAATTTTTAACAAAAAAATTTACGCGCTAACTCGCGCAGAGACTAATTCAACAAATATCAATTGCGGTGCGCTTCTGGCCGCGTCACTTAAATACCATTTTCTTAGTTTGAACAACAACAATGTATCTCGTATCACAGTATTATTCAGTAGTGTATTTAGTATTTGTCTCACGTTCACTTTGGATATGGCAAATATGAGATAGTAACAGTAAAATTATACTAATGTAAGTCTATAACTCTTTGGGGCTAAATGCATATCACAGTGGGAAAATTTTCAACGTTCCTATGTTCACCGTCTTCTACAACTTCCGCTTTCTTCTTTCTTTTTTTGTCTTTTTTTTTACTTATTTTAGATTATTTAACCGTCCAGAAGCGCACCGGTTCCAGAAGCGTGTCACTTTTTTCAATAAGGTCACGTTATCTATACGCGTTTTAGTTTAGAGTTTACGAAGAAGCATCACCGCCAACCAGAAACAAGCAAGCAATATAATATTAGAGTAAGATTTCTTTTTTTAGCATTAATCAAAAAATGCACCGTATGTTATTTGAGATACGCATTTCCGTATCCGCTATGCAGTCTTATCCTAACTTTTCGCTGCGTAATGCTACTGAAACGCTGCTACTGAAACATAGGACTATTGAATTGTACTTCTTTTTTCCTAGTTTTCAAAACAAGATCGTCACAGTTGCATATAAAACTTTGAATTTTCAAGCTTTTGTAAAAACAATTATTTTGGAAACTAAGTGATTTATTACAGGTTGTTCCCATAAATATAAAAAATTAAGTAGTGTTTAACTTGGAACTAAAATTTAAACGATTTTCTGCATCTTTTTATATAAACTAGAGAACGTTAATTTTAATATTTATAGCAGAGGCTTAATTAATTCTTTGCAAATCACACTTTTATTGCAAAGACGCAGCTACAAGAGTTTCATAACTTTTCAGTAGATTACGATAACGAGTTAAGAACTCGTATGCAATCTGCATAAGCCTGAAACAATTGATTTATAGGAACAACCTCTAATCCATATTATTTATTTATATTTATATAGATCTCAAATAAAAAATTTCTCTTTTGAAACTTTAAAGCACTAATCAAACATCCAATAACTTTAAATATTTTAACCAAATCATGCTTAAATATGATATATAAAATTTAAAAATTTTTGTATATTATTAGAATAAAAATTTAAAGATAGAAAAGAGAGATTGTAATTAAATATATATCTAAGAAATTAACATAAAATTGAGATTTTATGTGCAACAGTAATAAAAAATAATTCATAACTAATAATGATATTGTTTAAATAATCGGATCGCCACGATACTGTGATAATAATTGCTAAAAATAAAATTGCATCGTTAAAAATCCGAATAGCAGTAAAGGGATACCTGATCCTTACGCCGTTTAACAAAAAAGAAAATAAAATAAAAATAAAAGAGGGAAATGCTCTTTCCTAATGCTAAGAACATGTAGTAAATATCAATATTACTATTGACCAATTACAGTGCACGTCCATTTTTCTCGAACGTTTCGTTTTTTCCCTATCGTTTTATCCCTATTCGCAGTATATTTTAAAAAGTATACTATCTCTGTCCTTAAAAAAATTAATGGATAGCAAAATTAAATAATTTGATTCAGTCATGGATGTGCAAACAAGTCGACGTTCAAAACTGATGAAAGAGGCTATAAAGTCTGAACTCCGAAATTCGGCACTTTTAAGTAATCTCTGAAAACTCTTTTCGTAACTTTCCTCTTCAAAACTTCACTTATGACTTATGTCGTTAGTTCGCTAGCTAGTCAAACTCAATTTTGAAGAAAAATTCATATTCTTCGCTTTCTAAACTGCTTTTTCACTTTCATATATGGAAATATATTTCAAGACGATAAATTTTTTTCTTCATCAATCGTTTGTGACTTCTTAAAGAAACAGATTTTGAAGAGTCTCCTGCAAAAATACAATATAAGTGTTAGATGATTATATCACACACATGCATACGCCATACATACAACACAACATATACAATCATGTGTAATTATCTTTTAAATTAATACTATTTACCAATAGAAATCCAACTCATGTTCATATCTAAAATAAACCTTGAACGAATGCCTGGATGACTTTCGGTACAGTAGCATCGAAACCATTGATCGTCAAGAAATACCGGTCATAAAATTTTCGATATGGTGAGGAACAGCATAGAGCGCAAGTGATTAATCTATAAAAAACAAAAAAAAATCAATTTTATACTTTCCAGGTATATTAATTTTGTAAAATTAGAGCAATCATAATATATAACAATTATTTCTTTCCCTTCAAAAACATGCTTTTTTAATTTATAAAATTTAGTAATAAATAAAAACGTACCTTGCATGTGGAATTTTCAGTTCTGTTTTATATGATATCAGATTTTCCTGGCATTCAATATATTTTGGATATATTTGATCTATTACATTGATTAAGACATCGTATTTTTCCGACTGCTTTTTGGCCCATAAGATTGGCTTATTCATATTGATGGTTCTTTCTAAAGGTATTGCCTTTAAAACTTTTAAAATATCTTCGAAGGAATTCGTTTTATTGACCTCCAGTTTAATAATTTCATTGTTTTCAAATGTCACTACATCAACGTTCTCCTCAGAACGTAAAAGTAACATTATAATTAAACTGGCCGTCTCGATGCCGGTCATATTACCATTCTGCCAAGTGCGTCCTTCCATGTTCTTGTGGGTGCTGATTGTCACTAAGTAGCGCAAATTTGTGGATTGTACATTCTGTAAATAATCACGATAATGAAAACAAATAAATTGAATATCTATTTCTTTAAAACAATGTACTCGTTAGTTTTATTAATTTTTATATTACTATAAAATGTTTTAACAGGTTGCAAAATCATAACTAAATAAACCAAACATTTATTTTAATCATAAAAGAATTTTAACAAATTTTTTAATATAGAACTAGTAAAACTTTATAATCATTAAGATAATATAAAAAATTAGCTTACCTTAAATGACAGAAGGAATGCCGTATTTAAAGCATCTATTATTTTGTCATTTGGTTTATATGGTGGTGGCAGAGTTTTTTTTGCTAGCTCTCGAACTTTTCGTTTTTCATAGGTCAGAGATCTTAAAAATGCACATTTATTAATAATAATCTAAAGTAATTTAAATCATACAGAACACTATTGAAAATTGTAATTTGCATACTTACTTTCCGGAACACTGATAATTTTTCAGAGTAATAAAAACTAACGCCGGATGAACCTCACTGCACATTATATTTTCCTCATTAGTAAGTTGGTCCTTTACTTTTTCAACTGCTGGTTCATCCGAAACGAGAAAACCAAGATTGTGAATCCTTTGCAGATTGTTTAGAAGCATAATAACATCCATTGACGATATCAATGAATTCCAAATCTAATTACAAATAATAAAATGTTCTATCAGTCCATTTGAATTAATTCTTAATCTATTTTTTTAACGCTATTCATAATAAGAAAAATGCTTTTTAGCTGTAATTAATTTTTAAAAAAATTTTTCAAATTTTTTATTTGAAAAATTAATTAGAGATATTGCATTTTTAATAATTTTAAAATTTACTAGTTATTATGCAATTTTTAAAGAAAAATTAACAAAAAATTGTGTGTTTGCATTTTACCTCCTTGGATCTCAGCAAATGCCCAGGTACATGATCTAGTGATAATTCATACATTTCCAACATGCTGGCAGCTTGACATTCATCTTCGCAATGTTTGAAGCTTTCAACGTTTTCTATGTATTTCAATATTAACTTAATATCAGAATCTTCAGTTAGATGATTCTCTTCCAATTCTGCTTTGGTTTTTTCCATGCCGTGTATTATATATTTCAGTATTATTTTACTCGCTATTAAATAATTAATAGTCTAAGTAACATTTCAACTAATAGTTACAGTTATTAAATAACGAATCCTACTATGTAATAATAAAGATTATTTTATTATTACTATGTCTATTAAATTCTCTGAAAGTTATGTAATTATTAATTTTAAATAATTTTCATATATACATATTCATTAGTATTATTCTGGACTCTATTTTAATCACATCAATTATAAATATATATAACAATATAAGTAAAGAAATCAACATTAGATTTAAATAAAAAAAAAAAAAAAAAAAATAGAAAAGTAAATTTGTACTTTCTTCATAAATCATGGGTTTATCTGATCACCTGGAGAATTGCCTAGAGGATGAGCCAATTTGAGAATATCTTTATGCTTCCAACCATATCTGCTTCTATATCTCATAACACATTTTACAAAATCCAACGGTTCCTTAGAAAGGTACCAATTATTAATAGCTTTTCTCAGGCCCTGGCCCCATCCTTGCGTAACGAAATTTAATTCATTCTCACGGCATAATTTAGAGGCAAATTTAACAAATAGAATGAAATTTGGGGTAGATGCACAGATTGTTTTTACACTTTTGTATGCTGCCTGGCGCAATACCTCACTTTTATTTTGTCTGCAGCAAACAGCAAGAGCAAATACTAAAGCCTCTGGATGTGTAATCAATTTGCCCTCAAATGCCTACAAACAGCCCCATTTTAAGATATTTTAAAAATAGACAATTATGGCAAACAAACTTTTGTTATATAATTTATCAGTGGTATAGATGTATATTTACCTTTGTGATCAATTCAAGGGGTACCAATTCTTTCTCTTTTTCTTCAGCAAGTTCTTCTATGGATCGAACATTTCTGACAATGAAATAATCATGGGCAAACCAATATCCAGGCTGATAATTGGGATATTCTTTTCCAATATATAGATATCGTAACAAACGTAACTCAGGGTCATTGCAATTGCCTACTGTTGCCATTTCCTAATAACAATATGCCTAAAATAATTGAGGCTATAAGTTACAAAGAATATAAATATTAAGAAAAAAATTCAATCAGCAGTCAGTTGATAATTTCAAAAACAATTAGAATATGAAATAGCTATTGACTGATGCTTTTATTCTTTATGATATTTTTTCAGTAAACAAAAGTCTATTATTTGTGAGTCTTCAATTTAATTGTTTTAAAAATAACAGCTGTTGTTTTGTTTATCTATAATGTATTATCTATAAGTGTTTATTGAATTTTCCAAATATAATTGCATCTCATAAAAATATAAAATATTTGATAAAAATTATAAGTAAATATGAAATATATATATCAGACATAAGATACATGTACAAGATAAATACAAAACATATAGTATAAATCAAATCACGTGGCAAGGTGAGCTTAAAAATAGACCGGATTGAATATAATATAAGTTCGAAAGGAGAGAGATAAAAGTAACAGAAGAGTCCGCCTATATTGAACAATAGCTACAGAAATTTTACTGAGAGATATATCAAGTGTCATTATCAATCATACGAGGCAACAAGATGTTTTCCGCTTAACGAAAGTTTGAACCTTTTGATTTGGATCACAACAAACAATCGTTTTTCATACGTTTTTTTATCTGACAATGTACGTTTAATTCCGTTTAAATATCTCCTCTAAAAACGCGCATTATTCCGCATTATTTACACGAGCCGTTAACTAGATCGCGAATTGCAGATGCATCTCGCTCATATATACACGAAACGCGAAACACATACAAAGCGTATATGCAACCAGGCATCGTGCACCATGCCACCATGTACGCGCATGAGCGCGGATTCCTTCGCGAGGATCGCGCATATCACCTGACTACCGCATAAGGTAACGTGGAAATGCACACGGGAGGCGATGCGACCGCACGCATCTCGCGTTGCACACGCACATACGTACGCATGCACATACGTACGCATGCACATACGTACGCATACACATACGGACGCGCATACGTCGCAAAGTTAGCACAGAGTCAAAGGGTGCCCTTCGCGAGGGACGCGAGGACGCGATTGTCTCTTCTCACCCATTTCTCGTCCAGCAATTTACCTTGCGTTAACGTGGACCGACGTGCGAAACGATCATGCACCAGCGAAACGGGGTCTGACGGCGACGACGTTCGCGCGACGTTCAACGACGTGCGAGAGCGCATTGACGCACGAAGCGACGCTTAGCGGCGACAACCCGCGTCATGTCTGTTACATAGTTCAAACTCGACGACGCTAGGTGGCGCCACGCGGACAATTCAACAGGCCAGAGAGAGAACAAAGGAAATATATATTTATCTATTACGAGTTAAATCAAGGCTATAGGGGGCATTTATATATCAAAAAAACGTAAGATGTAAAAGTTAAACACGAAGCAGATTTACATTACAATCGGCCGGGAATTTTAAAATGATTTTACGTTTTCGATAATTTTCAATTCGCTTGGCCATTTCGCTCGCTGTGAGAATTGTGCCGCTTACGTTTCTCCGTGTGTGCTACTAGCTTGAGTTTAAAGAATCAATGTAAGCAATAAATTTGTAACACATAGGCGGGACTTGTTTCTAGTGTCATTTTCATGCTCCAATAGCACGTATTATTCTGAAAATGTTCAGGGGATAAAAAAGAAAATTCTGCATTCTTTACATATTTGAGATATATATTGTTATATAAAAATACTGAAAATGTATTTGTACGTTGAAGATTTTTATTATTTAAAGAATACGAATACATATATGAATCTGTATATATATATATATATATATATATATATATATATTTTTTTTTTTCAGATATATTTATTATATGTTAAAATAACAATCAGAGTACAAATTAAATTAAGGCTAGGAATACATAAAAAAATAGGCAATAAAAGTTGAAAAAAAATACTTATTAGGAAAAAGGAAATACTACATATTTAGTATATTTTTTGTATCATGTGGTTTAGAGAGAATATACGTAATCTACTTTTACAATACTCCTTCGACACTTAAAATCTACCATCAGTGTTGTATCAGAGTATATATCTGTTCGATAAAAAAACGAGGGCCGAAAAAGAAGATTCTCTTCCTTCTTTTTTTCTTCTTCCCCCTTTTGCTCTCTCTTTCCCTTCCTTTCATAGCCCTTTTTTTCCTCTCAACTTTTCTCTTTCTCTCTCTTTCCCAATCTCTTCCTCCCTTTCTCTCTCACTTGTCCCTCTCTTTTTCTCTTTCTAGCTAGAACTAAAGAAAACATTTTCTTTCAAAGCATTAAGGATGCAGTTATATGACGTGATTATGCGAGTCTCATATTAATCGAAACGAATATAACAAAGTCGTAAATTAACAATTAAAGAAAATGCTGTCAAGCAATTTAGTCGATTAAGAATACAAAGCTATTTCTTACTTTGTCGAACGATTACGTCATGTTGCATTGACGAAACTATCGCAAAGGTTCTTCATCGGTTCTTCACTCTATTCGTTTTATGTTGGCCTTTAAATGCGCGAAGCGTGAAAACGAGCAAAACAATTTTCCCCTTACATATGCTTCCCCTTTATCATTATGACTAAGATCAATTGCATAAAGATCGAGATAAGTTTAATGAATATAGATAGACGATTCCGACGGTCGATCGATCAGAATTATCATGTCGCTATATATATATAAACCGGTATCATTATATTTATATACCTTCTAATCTCGTATTCAGCACGCAAGAAAATGTGTTATCTCCAATCAATTAATTCTAATATTTCGGAATTTAATTGAGCGCGCCTCGATCACTTTTAGCGAGACAAGGTCGTGTACGTGCGATCTCCAGAATGTGTTTTTTAACTCCTTCATCCCCAATCTCACGCGCCGATAACACAATCAAGGATGACGTAAATTCTTGCAGAGTTGCTTTCCGACAGGAATTAATTGTTATGCACGAAAGAAATCGATTAAATTATTAAAAGCAATATCACAAAACTACGTCATTCTCTTCGCATATACAGATCACTCGCGTGTCTCGAATGCCAAGCAGCGACAATTACAAATCTATAAAATGCATGGATGGAGTTCCATAAAAGGATTGATTCTCAATCATGTTGCATTGTTGTGTTATAGAATGCTGGGCGTGCAAAGCAGATTAAAAATAAATTTGTAGGACGCGAATTTATTTAGGTCAGTTAATAGGTCAATATAAAATGGCCGTGAAACATATATTAACAGTACGGATTTTTTCTCCTGTTAAATCGCGCTAAATTGTCCGTCGTTCCTCTCATTGTTTTTCTTTCTGCCATCGGATGATTCGATGATAGAGTCCAACGCGCGCGCGCGCGCGCACGCGCACGGTACGTAAAAAGAATCTATAAAAGTACAAACGTATAGTAGTATATACGCGGCGAACCACTTTATCGCTGAAAAAAATCTCGCGTGACGCATGCGTATGCTTGTGTGCGCGCGTGTGTGTATGTCGAACGGTTGTGTATACGCGTGAGATTTTACGAGCGCATATATTTGTGGACAATATTTTTCTCGCTGCAGCGCAGCGATTCTTTGCGCTTCTCTTGATCTTCTCGTCTCTTTTCCCGATTGCATTTTTCCTCCCACTCCTCCTTTCCATTAATATCGCGGGTTTCTCGAGCCGCGAATGATTTATCGCGATGACACTCGGATCATCGTGGATTATATAAATAATTTTGTAGTTTCATTTTGTAGTTTGATGTTTGTATGCATTCTCTATTCATTCTTCTCTGCTCCCGTTCGCTTCGCTCTTCACCCCCGACGATCATCATTCAATTCTGATCCCATTGGTTCTGAATTCGAACAGTCTATCAGGCTATCATTTATCTTTTATCTGAGTAATACACTTTTTTTCATATCTCTCGAAGCGAATAAAAAGTAAACAAGCTGAAGTAAAAATAGAAATTTCTACTTGAATTAATTCGCACTCGTAAAATTCGTCAGCCGACGTGCTTGAAAATCGCGTAAATTTAATAACTCGTGTAACCATCGGAAGCTCATAAATGATTTTCTACTGAATCTCGATCCGAATGTATTTTTTATCCTCTATAAAATGCATTTTTTTATTTTTGATATTTTATTTTTTAACCATTATATGAAGAATTTTAATATAGAGTTTTGCTAAGATAACACGAACTTTTGCTCTAACATATCAAAATTAAAAAAAATTTATAGATAAATTCATGATTTCTAATCAGAATTTCAATTAATCCGCTTAGTAAAAAATCTTAAAATATCACAAAAAAAGCTATTTTTTGTATATTAAACCTCAATTATTTTGAAAATCTGACATGCTGAAAAAATTTGGCTTGTAGCATCGTTTTCGGCAAAAATCTATAAGAAGCATCTTGTCTGATTCGAAATAATTAAAAAAATATTTTTTTATAAATTAGTGTTATTCAACGCGAATCGTCATATGTACATTATCATTTACAAATTTCCCAACACTGTACAAAATAAAACACACATTCCTGCGTATTTTTTCTCTTTTTTTATCTTGGCAACATAACTAGAATGATTTGCCCTTTTTTAATTGCAAAATAAGAAAAATATCTGTCACGAAGTGATATGCTGCTGAAAAAACTTGCAATTTTATTTCATTTTGCTTCGAAGGCTGTTCGGATATTTATGTATTGCAGCATTGCGCGCGTAGATGTATATGTTTCTTAAAAACCGAGCCAGTCGCTTTTGCATTCGCGTGATCACGTGTGCGTGCGCACGCGCGCACCTAAAAGCGCTAAACTAGAGCCGGTTTTGCATTATTCGCGCTTCCGCACACAGCTGAAAGTTTCTCGTAATTGTTACCATTGAGAGGCGAGGCACGGAGGGGACAGCCCCTTCGTCGCTCCCCTCGTTGTCAACCGAGATAGAACCGGTAGAGATGGGGAGGGAGGACAGAAGGGGAACTCGGTACACGCATACGTACATACGTATTGTACTACGGACGAGCGTCTTTCGGCTCGCGTGGCCATGCGTGAAGTCAGCCCCAAACGTGAGTTTCACTCCGCTCGTTACGCGTATTTATAACTTCGCCGGTCACACGCGTTACAAACGCGGCGGTTCGCGCGCGCGATATTATCGATTTTTCTAGATCTCTCCGAGCACTGGAACACGATTACGCCGCGATTATGCACGCACGTACGCGCGGGCGTGCGTTTGTGTATATGCGCGCGCGCACGCTCGCGAGTTATGTAACGCGCGGCCGCGTTCACGTCGCGCGTTTCTATTAATGTCACTAATCGGCCGAGTATTAATCACCGCTACTCGCATATACCGGACGGTTCGCCCGTGACGGATATTCAGGCCCGGAGTGTCCATCTCCTTTGTGCGCGCGAGCGCTCATTAGGTCGTACATATTAGATCACGCTACCGTGTACGCGCGTTTCCTATGGTTTCCTATGGTTTTGAAGATGGTCGAGAGGCTCCATAAAGCCCAAATGCGAAGGTCGTATCTTTTAAGCTTTTAAATAGGCATGAACTTGCATCGACATGCGTTGACACGCACCCTGCGGTGAAGTCAGAGCCGCAACATCACTTCCCTG